TCCAGAGGGAGAGGGCTTAACAGCAGAGGAGGCATGGGAGCAGGCAGGTGAAGGGTTAATCTAATTAATCTTTATCAATTCAAAATCAGGAGTCAGATGTTGGGGGAGAACCTGAAAGACCAGAGAATAGGGAGCAGCCCCCAGTTGCTCCCCACCTCTTCAATTCCTCGGTCCAAAAGGGCCAAGATCCTCCCTCTGCCCCGCCTTACGGCTTCCTGTCCCTACAGTATTCCAGAACTCTATGGTTAGCTAGTGGCTAGCTCTTCCCTTTGACTCCAAACAAGCTTTATTTGTCAGAATACAATCAAACACAGGCAGGCATGGTGGCAGAGCAGGAGGCTGGCTGATCCCATCTCAACCACACACAGGAAGCAGAAAGTCAACTTGAAGTGGGCCAAGGCTATAAACTCTCAAAGCTGGCCCCCAGAGGCTTCCTTCTTTCAGGAAGATGCCCCTTCCTAAAGATCCCATAATCTCCCCACACAGTGCCACCAAATGCATGACCTAATGCATCCTCTCTTCTTTTAGACAGGGTCTCTCTGTCACTCTGGCTGGCCTGAACTCACTCTGTAGACCAGGTTGACCTCAAGCTCATAGAGATCACTTGCCTCTAGTGCTGGATTCAGAGGTGTGCACCCCTGTAGCCAGCCTCTAGTGCATTTTTGTGAAGATTCCACTGCTCCCGAGGCAAAACCCAAGTTCTCTAAGGAGCAGGAATGATAGATGCTGAGGCACAACCCCTTCTCTAGCTGGGAAAGGGGCTTGCATTTGCCCAGGGTACCTTTGGTTCTGGTGAGTATAATCCCCATCCTGAATGTGAACCATCCACCTGTATTAAGCCAGAGGCCAGAGACTGTGGAATAAAGGGGGTAGCGACACAGTTAGCAAATTGGGAAGCTATCCTCTGTTCAGATGAAGTCTAGTTTTTTTTTTTTTTTTTTTTTTTTTTTGGTTTTTACAAGACAGGGTTTTTCTGTATTGTTTTGGAGGCTGTCGGTCCAGCATGGCCTCGAACTCACAGAGATCCGCCTGCCTCTGCCTCCCGAGTGCTGGGATTAAAGGCATGCGCCACCACCGCCCGGCGAAGTCTAGTCTTCTCGACCTCAGGGGAATTTGGAAGTCATAGCAAGAGGTGTCATACATAGATGAAGACCATACACCGGGAGGAGATGCAAGCCGTCTCCTCCTGTCCCAGTCAAAAGGAACTCGTCCCTGCCATTCCCCCACACAACCTGGAGGGGGCGAGCTGCTAAAGAGCAAAATGCTGCTTGGAAACTATTGGGCCAAGGTTAAAATCCATCTTGTTTGACTTCCTGGCACTGGGACCTGGGATGTGTTTCTTAAGCTTCAGGGTACACAAGGCCAGAGACCTTCCTGTTGAATTCTTGTGTCCTAATGCACAACGACTGTACCAAGTCAGGCATGGCGCCTACTCAGGACCTTCATAGGAGCTCTCTTTCCTTCTTTCTACACAGCCTCTTCTCAGTTACTGGCTTCAATCATGCTTCCCCCCAACAAGTTCTTGGCTCTCAAGGCCATGGGGTAGACAATGGATGCCGTTCTCATCAACAGTGGATTCAGTCTTCATTATTTCTGATGGGATCTTTCTGCAGATTCCACTCAGACACGCCCTTCCCAGGATTCCCCACTCAAAGCAAGACTGCAGGTCGGGGCTGGGGGGGGGGCGTTGGGTTGCAACTCTCTTTACCGTAGCTTCTTCAGCGCTCTTTGCTCCATGGTCTCTTGGGATTCTAGACCCTTCCTGTGGACAGTCTAGTTGGGCACCCCCAGGTCCACCCCTCCCCCGTTTGGCTTCTGTTAAGACAGTGGTTCAATCTGTTAAGTGCAGAGGACTTTGGAGTATGTTAATAGCAATTTGTGATAGATGCCTTTGGCACCTACACATTCAAGAACACCCACACTCACAGAATTTAAAAAAAAAAAAGGGAAAAAGAAAAAGAAGGTGGGGGTAGGGAGCTACTTTAATGGGAGATAACATAGCCGCGTGCAATTTGGCTATTCATTGTATCTCTGGCATTTTATGTACTACATTAGCGGAGGCAATTTCATGCATATGGATATAATGCATTAAGTGGAGGCATTTAAATATAGTGAAACTAATTTTATGATGATTAGTTGAAGGAAAACATTGCATTCGTATCATCTATATAGAAGCCAATTTGCATGAAAATGCCCAAAGTTGCTATGCCAACATTTTCTGTGCCGCTGGTCGGGGTCGTCTCCCAGTCAAGACTTTGTATTAAAAATCGGTCTCCGGTGCCCATGTCTTTTAATTCATTGCAAGCTGTAGGCCATTTGCTCACAAAGCGCTCGCAGTAAAACAAATGAATAGCTAAAATACTCATTTGCATGATTCCCATTTGAAAACGATTCCCCTGAAATTAAAAAAGCGTGTTACTCGGTTGTGAAGATGGATGGGCCATCGAGGCGGGCAATTAATATTTCCGGCGTTCTCTTTAAAGCCCTCCCAAGACTGAGAACAGCACATGCCAGACAAATTGGGCCCCGCAACAGTTTTGGGGCCTCAGCGGCGGCAGCTTGCCCACACTGTCTCTCCTTTATGGTCTCACTTACATTATGCAGTAATTAAAACTATTTACCATTCGTACTTATCCACCATCTGCCACTGGAAGGTTCCTCTTTTTTAGAAAGCCTTTCTTTTTTTTAAATTTAAACATATGTATATATGAACATATATATGTTTGAATTTACACAATATATTTTGATCATGTTTCAACTTTTCCCAGAGTCTCCCCACATCCCTACCCAACCAAGTTCATGGACTTTCTGTCTCTTTTCCAAAGAAAAACCAAACACCCCCCAAAAAGCAAACAAAGAGCTGTATGAAGAGGGAAGGCCCCACGCCTGACCTGTCTCCTGGTTGCCTTTGGGAAGGAGAGGTGTGGATGGCCTTGGTGTACAAAGCTGGGTCCCTGAGAGTTTGTTTGTGTTAGAGCACAGCTTCCATCGTCTTGGGGGGAGTCTTCGCCTACCTCCAGAGGGTGATCTATATGTTTTGGGGAAGTCTAGGCTTGGATCTTCTCACGAAAGAACTCAAATGTGACCAGGAGCTTTGGCCACGGTAGCGGAACCACTGACTACAGCTGTTTAAGTTGTTTACTGTGCCAGCACCGTTAGTCCAGGGCTCCATGAGGCTCAGGTTTCGTCTTGCTGTGATCCGTTCAGCACTCTGAGGCCCTGTGGCCTGGGTCATCCCCAAGAGGGCATCACCTTCTAATTACCACAGAGGCACCTTAAGACCTGGCAGGAGGCCTGGGGTTAGGGACGCCATCTTGGAAACTGCTAACCTTGGACCCTTTTTCTCAATGGCAGTTAAAGCCTCCAGCTGGGTTCTTCTGAGGGCCTGGCCCTAAGGTGCCTAGGGCTCTGCATCAGGCTCTCCTCCATGAATACTTCTACCACCTCCTGGGCCTCTCCTGAAAGGCCAGTCCCCATGAGGCACTCACTCACAAGAACAAAGGGTGTGGCCAGAGGCTGCGGGCTCCAGAGGACTGGGCCTTCATCCAGAATGTCATCTGAGCCAGCTATGGTGGCTCACACCTGCAGTCCCAGCACTCAGAAGCCTGAGGCAGGAGGATTGGGATTTTGAGGACAGCTTCAGTGACACAGTGAGTTTGAGACTATCCTGAACTATATGAGTCTTCTCTCTCTCTCTCTCTCTCTCTCTCTCTCTCTCTCTCTCTCTCTCTCTCTCTCTCTCTCTCTCTCTCTCTCTCTCTCTCACACACAAGCACTAGCCCTTACATAAAAAACCAGAACAAAAGAATGCTACTTCTCAGAGCATAGCCCAACACTAGCCCACAGTCTAGAGCCCCAACTATTGTTAAGTCTCTGGCAAAGCTCTCAATGGGACTCAGCCACCAGCCATGGACCACTTCTGTGCTCCCCCAGCAGATTCTCAGTACCTGTCTCTCAAGGGGGTGCCCATTCCCAGCAAATAGCCACAGGGTTTATATTTGCCTAGAAATGCACCCTCTGCTGGAATGTTCTAAGCTCCATGCCTCACAGAGGTCTCAGGGCAACACTCACCATCCTATATAGACCTGGGTCAAGGTTGCCCCATCTGCCTACTTACCTTCATCTCTGCTTCTCCCGTCCCTAGGTGAGGGGAGGCCATTCCCCTGCCTCAGCTAACCTATGTGAGCTGGAGATGGTACCTCTTGTAAACATCAGGCCCTCTGAAACCAGGCTGCCCTGGGACCTTGTGACCTTTAGCAGATCAGATAGGATGGGTGGCCATAGAAAATGAAGTGACAGCGTTCTTCTGAAGAGACTAGCATGGGTCCCAGTAAGGAGACGTGAGTCACCACAAGGGCTTCATTCAACCTGGCCTTGACCGTCAAGGTGAAACCCATGTTGTCATTACTTAAGATATAATAGTCACTAGGCAAGGTAGCATAGACCTGTAAAATCCCAGCACCCAAGAGGTGGAAGTAAGAGGATTGTGAGTTCAAAGCCAGCCTGGACTTTATAGTAAAACCTTATTTAAAAAAAAAAAAGGCTAACAAGATGGTTCAGCAGGTGAAGGTGCTTGCTGCCAAGCCTGAAGACCCAAATTCAATCCCTGGAACTCACATCATAGAAGAGGTCTGACTCTCACGAGTTATCCTCTGATTCCCACACGTGCACTGTACACATGCATGTATGTCCAAACACACAGAAACACAAAATAAATGAGAGTGCCATTTTTTTAAAAAAGTGTGATGGCATTTGGGAGTCGTGCATCCTCACTGACTTAAAAAGCTCCCTTGCAGGCACCCTGCTGACCGGAAGCTCCTCCTCCTATGCCAGCCAGTGCAGGTCACAGACTTACAATAGACACAGAGCCACTGGGGGAAGGGCGAGGAGAGCAACGTGAGTCGTGAGAGCTCAGCAAATAATGTTACCCAGGATTTCTGTGCCCTTGTGTCTCCCCAGAGCAGGTGTGCACAGTCCTGGAGCAGATGGAAGCCATCTGCGCACCGAAGAGCTCCCCAGGTTCAAGGTGACAGCGTCTCTCCGCTTGGCTTCCAGCACAGTGTAGACATTGAGAATCCGGATGTTGCCTCGCAGAGGAAGGGACTGTCACACCCACCATAGTGGACTCCTTGAAGCTAAGCCTCTGCCCCAGTAAGACCCCTGATCCACCCCAACTAATCTCATGGTCTTCCACAGTCTGAAGGGCTTAGAAGATCAGGCTTGGGCTGAGGATATGGCTCAGTTGGTAGAGCGCTTGCCTAGCATGCATGAAGCCCAGGGTTTGGTCTCCAGTGCTACATCAACTGGGCATGGGAGTGCACACCTGTGATCCACGCTTTTGGAGGCAAAGGCAGGAGGATCCGAAGTTCAAGGTCATCCTCAGCTATAAATGAACTTGTCTACTCCAGACCCTGCCGCAAAGCAAACAGGCTGGAGTTGAGCTCATCTGGACCCAGTGCTCTTTCTGCCTCTCTGTGGCTTCAGGCAAGTCCCAGGATCTCTGGGGCCTCCATCTCTTCATTTCTACCGACACCTGCTGCAGCTCCTCAGCCCTCGGTGCCTTCCGATGGATCACGGGCCGCTCAGCCCGCACCTCCTGGCAATCATCACAACAGCCTTCTGCGGCTTTGTTACTGAGAGGAGAACAAGAGAAGTAAATGTTCCTAGTTACTGAAGAAGACGTTGGTAAAAGGAAACCAGGAGGCAGAAAATTCACAATCCATCGGTAGGAGCTTCACCCACTTCCCGTTTGGAGGAGAAGAAGAGGGAGGCTGGGAAAGCCCACTACTCACTAGTAACTACCAATGAGATTCAGTACAGGACCAAAAATAGAAGCCTTCCCAGGAAAGTGTTTCACAGTGCCACGCCAAAGAGGAAAGAAAAAAGAATTAACATAGGGAAGCCATTTAAAGCAGGAAAAATATTTGTATGTAAAGGGAAATATTTTAGGCAGGAGTTGAATGCCAAATGATTTTGGGTCTCTGTAGGGAGTAATGAGGCATAGACACACAATGCTGTATGCATGTGATATTATCTTCGACCGCCTTGGAAAGCTCTTAAATCACGAAGATGCAGTTAGGGACCATTGTACAAAATAAACATCCCACTTGGTGTCCCGCCTGCCCCTAAGTTCCCTGATCTAGAGCAGCACTGGCAGATTTTTACAGCCCTGTAAATTAACGTGGTGCTGATTTGATTGAGCTAAATTAATAAGACTTGTGCTTTGTTGCAAAATAACTATTACAGTATGTTGTGAGGACGCGCTGCCGATAAGGAAATTGCCGCCTTTAACAATCCCACTGAAGTTTCATGGAGGATTTCAAAACCGATTTTAATTAAAACAAAAGCCGATGTGTGGTAATAATGTGGATGTTAAGGATAGAAAATGTGAAATGCCTTTTTAAATCCATTTTAATATGTCTTAAGGACTGGATGATGAATGGGCTAGGAGCCTGCGGCTGACATCGAGCCGGGAGGCTGCCTGGGCAACTAGCTTGAGTGACTTCAGCACCCGGCACACCCGCAGGGCCTGTGCCACGGCTCAGCTTCTGGGCTGGGGTGGCCTCCCAAGGTGGAGCTGCAGGGGGATGACCCTTTTCACAGTCCCGATGACCTTGGCACCTGGTTCTCCTGGCTTCGTTGACTGTGCCACAGGCCAATGGGCCTGCAGTCCTCTGGAGGCCCTGTCTAAAGACTTTCCAAAACGCTTAAGTCACCACAGGGACCTCAGAGGCACAGGGTTTGAAATGAGCAGCCAATGGCATATGGGAGCAGGAGGAAGGCTGTGTCCTGAAGCGCAGGGGTCAGTGAAGAAACCCTGGCATACGCAGCAGAGGCCTGGATCCACAGTGAAGATTGCGCTGAGACTCAGTGCCAAAGCCACTGTGTGTCCCGGGTGAGGGGAGACCTCAGACTTTGAAGAGGCACGCCTTCGAGACCCACTCTTAACTCTTAAGTCTCAGGCTCCTATGATCTCGGTGTCCTCGGCTGTAAAATGAGAACAATGATCGGATTTACTGCACACAGCTGGCGTGAGGATTAACAAGGTTAGTGTCTAGTGTGTGTCAACCTGAAGTTGGTAGTCATTGATCTAAAAGGAGCACGTGTGCTACACCTTGCTTTCCACTGTCCGTGTTATTTTATTTACGTCTTTGTGTGTGTCAATGTGAGTGTGTGCATGTGTGCCCAGTGCCTGAAGAGGCCAGAATGCGGCACCTGGTCTTTGGAGCTGGGGTTACAGGTGTTTGTGAGGCAGCCCACATGGGTGCTGGGATCCAAATGTCAGTCATGGCTAAGCATTGAATGCTCTTAACTTCATCTCTTCAGCCCCCAGCTTTTCATGTTTTAACGTAGAGGCAATAGACCCTCACTTGATGGTACAGTTGAATTGCAGCCAGGCAGTGGTAGTGCATGTCTTTAATCCCAGTACTTGGGAGGAACAGACAGGAAAATCTCTGTGAGTTCCAGAAAAGCCTGGTCTGCAGAGTGAGTTTCTGCAGAGCCATTTCCAAGACAGCCAGAGCTACATAGCAAAACCCTGTCTCAAAAAACAAAAAACAAAAAAAGAAAGAAAAAAGGAAATGGAATAGTAACCCATTCTTTCACCCAGTCTCCAGCTTGGAAAGTATTGCCTATGCGCATTACCTTGTAGGAAACTTTCCAAGTCTTCTCTCATTGGGGACTTTTCCATGTTTCGTCTCACTGACTATCCTGCCTGCCTCTGGAGAAAGGGCAGCAGTGTGTCTGATTCACTTGTGGGGAACAGAGTCTGGGCAGAGTAATGCTAGCGTCCCCTTTGCTTCTCTATGCGAGCACTGGCTACAGAGTGCACGAGGGCTCAGTGTCTCCTTGCCCCTCTCTCCATACCCTAAGCTCCCTTAGGGGAAGCATTCAACTGTCTTGTTCCCTTCAAGTGTCTGGCATCAAGCTGTTTATTGAATGAATGAATGTATGAATGAATGATGGGCCATTGTGGATAGCGTTCAGTCTCCACAACTCATGTCGGCTCATGTTCAATTGTTCTCTAGTGCCTCCTCTTCCTCAGGCGGCCTCCTTGTGTTTGTCACAGGTAGGGTTCCACTCCTCCCTCTAAGGCTCTTTCCCCGCATGGAAATTTCCACCTCCCTTTGCCAGGGGACCAGGCCCTTGACTGTTTTCCTCTTTGGGCTTTATCCTGAAGGGACTGCTTGGTCCATTGCAATGCAGAGGCAACCACAATAAGGTAAGGCCACCTCCTCACTGTTCTTCCCACACTGTAGGGGGCTCATATTTCAGATCTCAAGGTAACCCCTGCCTCAGAAAGTACCTACATGGCAGAATGATGAAACCTCAACACTTAACAGCTCAAGTTCTAGTCTGGCTGACTCCTTCATGACCAGATGACCTTAGCAAATCATTTCATTGTCCTAAACTTCAGTTTACCTGTCTGTTAAATCAGACATTTCTCCCCCTTATTGGCTTGCTGAAGCCTGAAAGGGAAAGAGAAGATGTGTCCTTGACTTGGTGATCATTGACCAAAGGGATACCAGGATTCATTCATGTCTGCCTGCCTGCCTGATTTATCTGTTTCTTTGTTTCTCTCTGTTTCTCTCTCTCTCTCTCTCTCTCTCTCTCTCTCTCTCTCTCTCTCTCTCTCTCTCTCTCTCTCTCTCTCTCTCTGTTTCTCCCTCACTCTCCTCCTTCCTTCTTCTTTCTTTTTCCTTTTCCTTCTTCCTCCTTCTTCCTTTTTTTTTTCTTTTTTGAGACAGTCTTTCTATATAGCACTGGCTGTCCAATGCTGGAACTCACTGTGTAGACTAGGCTGGCCTTGAATTCACAGAGACCTGCCTGCTTCTGCCTCCTGAGTGCTGGGATTTAAAGTGTGTGCCTCACCTGGTTTATTTTACTTTTTAGTTTATGTATGTGTATACTCACACGAGTACAGCTGTCTGTGGAAGCCAGAAGAGAGCGTCAGATCTTAAGCTGGAATTATCAGGTGGTTGTGAATGTTAGGACTGAATTTGAGTCTGCAACAACAGCAAGTGTTCACACCGTCTGAGCATCTCTTCAGCCCCGCCTTCTAGGTTCCATTGCCTATTTCACTCTTCATTACCTCACACTCCTATTTGGGTGACTTTAATTAGACTTCCTGTTTTTAATTTTTAAATGTATCATTATTTTTACAGATTATCATCATCATCATCATCATTATTATTAGAGACAGAATCTCACTATGTAACTCTGGTTGACCTGGAATTTGCAATGTAAATCTTGAATTCACAGAGATCTGCCTGCCTCTGCTTCTCAAGGCTGGGGTTATGGGCATGAACCATGCCTGGCCATTTTAACATTTAAAGTGGGAGTAATTCTTTGAGTTACTTTAAAATGAACCCTTTCCACATATTAAATCATCATATTAAAGCTGGGTAGTGGTGGAGTGCTCCTTTAGTTCCAGCACTTGGAAGGCAGAGGCAAGTGGATCTCTGTGAGTTCTAGGCCAGCCTGGTCTACAAGAGCTAGTTCCAGGACAGCTAGGGCTACACAGAGAAACCCCGTCTCAAAAACAAAAACAAACAAAGCACCCCCCCAAAAAACCCAAATCATCAATTTAACTTTTCATTTTAATTTTTTTAGGATCAATTGATTTTATATTTTACAACTAATTTCTAATCTGGAATTTGTTGTTAAAATTTCTATCTTGAAAATTATTTTACTTATAGGATCTCTCTCTCTCTCTCTCTCACACACACACACACACACACACACACACACACACACACACAGAACTGGAGGTTGAGATCCTTACACATGCTAGCTAGTTAGGCACTATAATGCTAAGGTGCATTTCAACACACACACACACACACACACACACACACACACACACACACAGAGAGAACTGGAGGTTGAGATCCTTACACATGCTAGCTAGTTAGGCACTATAATGCTAAGGTGCATTTCAACACACACACACACACACACACACACAGAACTGGGGATTGAGATCCTTACACGTGCTAGCTAGTTAGGCGCTATAACGCTAAGGTGCATTTCAAGACTTCTTTTTACTCTTTGTTTTGAGGCAGGGTCTCATTACGTTGCCCAGTCTGATCTTGAACTCACTCTGTTGTTCAGACAGTCTTGAACCTGTGACCCTCCAAATGCTGATTCATGAGCAGCCAGGACTACAAGCCTGTGCCATCACACTCAACCTTTATTTCCATCCTTAATTTTGATCCTTTATAATGATATCTTCTGCTATGTCCACATAATCCCTCTGTCCCTGACTCTAGACTGCACATGAACTATGCAGCAAATACTCAAAGCTGATATCTGCAAAACTAGGGAGAAGCAAACTTCAGCCCTGCCCCAGGGATCCCACAGTCCTGGGAAGAGACACATCCTTCTCTATAGCTTTCTGGGACAAGAGAAGAGACAAAGGATGTCTTGATGGTTATGAAGTGGTAGCTTCATGGGAATTTCAAAGGAAGCTGGAGATCCGAGGCCAGGCAAGCTGATCTTAGAGTAGAGTAGGGACTGGAGCTGAGATGGAGAAGAGTGAACCAAGAGATTTTTAAAAAAAGATTTATTCATTTATTATGAATACAGCATCCTGCCTCCGTGTATGTCTGCACCCCAGAAGAGGCACCAGATCTCATTATAGATGGTTGTGAGCCACCATGTGGTTGCTGGGAATTGAACTCAGGACACCTTGAAGGGCAGTCAGTGCTCCTAACCTCTGAGCCATCTCTCCAGCCCCGAACCAAGAGATTTTTGTAGCAGGGAACACAATAGAGGGAAGCCAGACCATCCTTCCTGGAGAACACGGGCCTCAAATTCACAAAGATCTGCCTGCTGCTGCCGCCTTCTGACTGTGAGACACAATACTCAAAAAAGCTGTTTGGGTTTTGACAGCAACAACAGTAGATTCTAAAAAGAAGGACATATTTGGAAATTGAAAGAAAAAGGATTACTGGAAGAAAACTTAGAGTTCATGTGTAGAATAGCAGATTAGATAAAGCTGAAGAGAGGATCCATGAATTGGATGAATGAAGCAACGGGAGAAGAAGAGATGCTGACTGTGAAAGAAAAGTTAAGGGATCTGGGAGAGGAAATGAAAAGCCCAATATAAATCTAGTTAGAATTCCAGAAGGAGAAGAATGGGGTGGAGGCAATCGTTTAGTGAGTGATGGCTGACAGTGTCTAGAACTGAAGAAAGACACAGAGCAAGTTTTAAGATACGGCCTATGGGTGTCATGTAGATTAAATGAATGAAATGTAGGTTCATCAGAATGAAACTGGACAAAGCTAAAGTCAAAAGATTTCCAAAATTGCCACAGAGGGAGAAAAAACAGATGACAATGTATTCAGAAGAAACAAGGCTAGGTTAGCAATTGACTTACACAGCAATATGTGGATGTTAAAAGATAAACAGGGTCTGGAGAGATGGCTGGGTGGCCAGGGTCACCTGTAACTCCAGTTCTAAAGGAATCTGATGCTTTCTTCTGGCCTCTGAGGGTACATACACACACATACATAATTAAAAGTAAAAATAAATACCTTTTAAAAGGAAGACACTAGAAGATTCATGTATATGTAGGACAAAAACAAGTGCCAATCTAGAATTCTGCAGCCATTTTTTGAGGCTGTAGTAAAAATGAAGTATTTCAGATGGAACTGAAGAATTAATTGCCATTAGAAGTACCTAAGTAAAGGCAAAGCTGACCACTGGGTGAGCGTGAATGCGCCCTGACCTCAGGCTGAGGGAAAAGTATAAAAACCATGAAGACTACTCAGCTGTATAGAAGACTGAGAAGCTGTCACTTGAACTACGCTAGTCATGTCATGTGGGATTAAGAGGAAAGACAGACTTTAGAGTCACAAACTGCCAAACATAAATCAGGATCAAATGAATGTGAAATGTTTTAGGTCTCCTACACAGTCCAGAAAGAAAGTAAAGATGTTTATTGACAGCTGCTCACTAGCCCATGAGTTAGATGTAATTTCTAGGTCAACTATCAAAATACAAGAATCAGAGATTATAGCTTTCAAACTGCAAGAGTAATGTTTCGTTGTTTTTGATATGGAGTCATATTATGTAGCCCAGGCTAACCTCAAACTCATGGTCCTTCTACCATAGCCTTCAAGCACAGGGATTGCAGGTGTGTGCCACTGCCTCTAGCCTGAAAAACCAAATTTGAAGAGTCAAAAATATTAATTATTTATTTTATTTTTATTTACACGCCTTTATGCACAATTTTTTTCAGTCTGTTCTTGATTGAATGTGTGGATATAGAAATGCAGAAACAAAACAGTATTTCTATGGTTTATCCCACAGCTGAAAACAAAAAGGCCAGGACATTCCAGAGCCTGTTCCATAATGTGGAGTTCTATGTCTTTGATGCACCTTCCTTCAATGGGTAAATGGAACTCCTCTCCCTGAGTGGGGGCCTGCTCCAGTCACATGTTGCCCATGGTCAGAATAAAGTGGAAGTGGTGATGGTGACCTCGGAAACTGGGCTGTAAAAGGCACAGAGTCTCCTTTATTTTTATTTTGGATCTTTTGTCCTGGGGGAAGCCAGTCTTTGTGCACACTCAAGCTGGAGATACTGCCCCAGGATGAAGGATCCCACATACACAAAGGAGAAACAACCTCCTTTTCTTCCTTTACTAAACAGCATTCCCATGGAAACCTGACCTGGGTGCTTAGCAATGACCAAGGCGGCCTTCTCTTCACCTGGACACCTGGCCTTCCAGTCCTCATGTTTGAAATCACTCAATAAGAAGCACTGGCCTAGAGGGGCTTCCCTCTGTGGTGATTAGCAGTTAATGCAGAGTGTTACTGTCCAGGCTCTGAGAATACATGTCTGTTGAGTGCTCAGCCCTAAATGGGACATCTATATCTACTTCCCCACCCCAAGCCTCAGGGGACATTGAGGAAGAGGGACAGAGAGAACATAAGAGCCAGAGGATGGGGAGGATGCTGTGAAATGCTAATCTGGGGACATGGCATGGACATTGTACCCACGAACTCACCGTAGCCCAAGATCAAACCCATGAAATCAGCCAACATTCCAACCAGCAGCAGTAATTGGACACAGTGGCTTATCCATTAAAAAAGGAGAGGACTTGAGGTGGGTGTGGGATATGTTGGGGTTCCTGGTGGGGAGAAGAAGGGAGAATTTGGAGATGGATATGATGAAGACACGTTGATTACATGTATGAAGTTGTCAAAGAATAAGTAAAAACTATTTAAGAAAGGCTAGAGAGGTGTGGTGGTTTGAATGAGAATCCCCCATGGCTCATATACCTGCATTCTTGATCCCCAGTTAAATAACTGTTGTCAGATTAGGAGGTATGACATTGTTGGAGGAAGTGTGTCACTGGGGGTGGGCTGTGAAGATTCAAAAGCCCATGCCAGGCTCAGCCTCTCTCTCTGTTTCTCTCCCTCTCCCTCCATACTCTTTTTGCCTGCTGCCTGTGAATCAGGAAGTAAAGCTCTTAGCTCTAGTGCCTGCGTGTTCCCCACCATGATGATAATGAACTAAATAATGGACCTCTGAAACTGTAAGCAAGCCCCTAATTAAATGCTTTCTTTTGTAAGAGTTGGTCATGGTGCCTCTTCATAGCAATTGAACAGAAGTTGGTACCAGGAGTGGGATATTGCTGTGACAGACCTGACCATGCTGCTTGTTGGAGGAATGTGAATTTGGGGACTTTGGACTAGAAAAGTGGTTGAACATATTAAGTGGGGCTTACTGGGTCATCCTAGTAGGAACTTGTGTGATGGCTAAAATTATGTTTTAAGTTTAAATTACTGTGCTTAAGAGATCTAGGAATCAATACCTCTAACCTGTAATCCCTACTTTCAGGACAGATAGCTTCCTGGAATTCTGGGGGCTGTTTTTCACGTAGGATAACAAGCCACATGTTTTTGCTTCTGTAAACAAGTTTGGTTGCCTCAACTGTACAGGATGTACTTGATCACACATAGGCGAGAGATATGTAGGCAGGAAATATGTCAGGGCATATGTTTGCTCCTGATTGGACAAAGGCAGGGAATATCTAACCTTTAAGTTTTCCCTTTATAAGCCCTTGACTAATGTATTTCAGCACCATACTCTGGGAATCCCTGATATAGACCTAGCCAGTATTTAATAAAGCTTGCTTCAGATTTGGCTCAAAAATCTCAGGAGTGGTCTTATTCTCTCCTGGCGGGACTAACGCACAGACAGTGGTGCGGAGTGTAATGGGACAGTGGGGGCACAGCCCAGTAAGTTTCAGAGGGGAGAACATTAGCAAGTGGCCTGGAGACCATTCTTGTGATACTTTGGCAAAGAATATGTCTGTCTTTTGCCCTTGTCATAAAAATCTGCCTGAGGCTAAAATCGAAGAGTTTTGGGTTAGTGGCGTTGGTGGAGGATATTTCTAGACTCCTTAGCAATTGGCCGTGTCCTGTGGTTATTAGTGATCAACATTATGTAGATATACAATGAAAAGGAACAAGCTGATCAAGGAAAAATGGGAAGTGTATGGCTTGAGAAGAAAAGGAGTACCAGGAAGTGCAGTGGACGTAAGGCCAGCACTCAGGAGATAAAAAAATTTATAGAAAAGCCTGATGCTAAGTGGAGTAAAGGGAGTGGTGACTTCAGGGCTGGACCCCAGCCAGCTCACCTTCCAACTTGTGAAAAGGAGTTAAAGGAAGGCTTGGGTGTTGAAGGAAACCACCACCAACTGACGTCTGATGCAAACGTAATCCAAGGAGGAGGCCGGGTTCCAGCCCCTGAACTTGTCAACTTCAGCTTTATGGTTCTGATTTCAGAGTCATGAATACAAGAGAGGGGTTGTGGAATCTCCCTCCTCCTCACCTAAGGAAAGCCGCTGAGCCCAGGCAGATAGAAGGGGAGCTCTGCATGAAGGAGAGGCCATTGTGTGACACTGTGAAGGTGAAATCTGGATTGTGTTGAAGACCCCAAGATACTGAAGATGCCAGATCTATGGGAGACTGTGAGGACCAAAGTTAGGTTTTAAGTTTTAATTACTATGACTAAGAGATCCATGAAACAAAAATGCCTCTGACCTGCAAGCCCCTTGTCCAAGAACAGATACTTCCTGAAATGCTGGAGGGTGTTGTTTATGGGAAATAACAAGTCACACATTTTCACTTCCCTAAAGGAGTTTATTTGATGTTTGATCACATGTCAGTGGGAGGTGCTGAGGCAGGAAATATATCAGGATTTATGCTTGCCCCTGATTGGATGTAGGCAGGAGTTACATAGGCAGAAAATACATCAGGGTGTATGCTAGTCCCTGATTGGACTTGATGGGAAATGCAGTGAATTATTGGTTTTGCCTTTTTTGTTTGTTTTGCTTTTTGTTTTTTGAAACAGAGATTCTCTGTGTAACATCCCTGGCTGTCCCAGAACTCTGTAGGTTAGGCTGGCCTCAAACCCACAGAGATCCACCTGCCTCTGCCTCTGCCTCTGCCTCCTGAGTGTTAGGATTAAAGATGTGTACCACCACCACCCAGTGGGTTTTGCCTTTGTAAGCCTCTGCAAACCATGGCTAAGGGCCATTTCCCTTGGAATTTGGGTATGGACCTGGACAGAGTCCATCCACCTGACCAGTAATTAAAGCTTACTTCAAATTTGCTTTTAAACTGTGGTAGTGGTCTTAGTCTCAATCAGTGGGCTTAACAATATATGCCAAGGAGAACTGCTAACAGGGAATAGAACCAGTCCAAGAGAGAAAAGTGTGTTGCAGTCAACAAAGTTGGAAAGAGCTGGAGAGCTGGAGAGCATTTGATATCAGACAGGGAGATGCTGGATTTGGAGTTTGCCCAGCTGGTTTTTGGCTTTCCTTTGGTCTAGTGTTTCCTCTCTATGCTCCCTTCCCTATGTTTTGGAATGGTAATGTGATGTGGGATGTCCTCTGTATGGATATGTTTTTATTATCATTGATTAATAAAGAAGCTGATTTGGCCAGTAGCTAGGCAGAATACAGCAAGGCTGGAAATCCAGAGAGAGAGAGAGAGAGAGAGAGAGAGAGACAGAGAGAGAGAGACAGAGAGAGAGAGAGAGAGAGAGAGAGAGAGAGAGAGAGAGAGAGAGAGAGAGAGAGAGAGAGAAGGCACACTCAGGGAGAAGTCATTCAACTGCCAAAGGAGAAAGATGTCTGAACATCACTGGTGAGCCATTGCCACATAACAGAGAATAGAAATGGGTTAATTTATGTTGTAACAGCTAGTTAATAATAAGCCTGATCTAAATAGGCCAAATGGTTTGTAATTAATATTAAGCCTGAGAGTGGTTATTCAGGAACTGGCAGGTGGGAGAGAAACCTCCACTGACATTAATGTATATCCTGTGCCATTATATTTTGGAAGTATGTGATCTGATTTTTTTTTATTTCGATTTTACATGGGGTTACAGTTAAGAGATTGCATGAATCTCAGAAGATACTTTGAACTTTGGACTTTTAAACAGTGTTGAGACTGTGATAGACTTTTGAAGTTGGACTGAATGCATTTTGCATTACGATATGGCTATAAGCCTTTAGTGGCCAGGGAGTAAATGTAATGGTTTGAGTGAGAGTGGCCCCCACAGGCTTATGTACTTGTGTGAGTGGTCTCCAGTTGAAAACTGTTTGGAAGGATTAGGAGGCATGGCCTTGTTGGAGAAGGCGTGTCACTGATAGGGGGCTTTGAGGTTTCAGAATTCCACTCCAAGCCCGGCCTCTCTCCCTCCCTCTCTCTCTCTCTCTCTCTCTCTCTCTCTCTCTCTCTCTCTCTCTCTCTCTCTCTCTCTCTCTTTCTCCCCTCCCTCTCTTTCTCTCTCCCTCCCTCTCCCTCCCTCTCTCCCCCCCCTCTCTCTTTCCCCCCTCTGCCTGCAGCCAGTGGATCAGGAAGTAAAGCACTCAGCCACAGGGCCATACCTGCATGCCACCTTGCTCTTCACTGTGATGACGTGGACTAACCTTCCGAAATTGTAGGCAAGCCCCCAGTTAGATGCTTTCTTTTATAAGCGTTGCCATGGTTATGGCGTTTCTTCACAGCAATAGATCAGTGACTGTCCTAGGGTCTTCTTCTGTGATGAAGCAATGGGGAAAGAAAGGTCAATCATAGTTCCAAGTAACTGTCTTAGGGTTTCTATTGCTATGAAGACACCATGACCACTGCGGCTCTTGTGAAGGAAAGCATTTAACTGGGGGCCTTCTTACAGAGTCAGAGGTTTAGTCCATTATTATCATGGCGGGAAGCATGGTGGCAGACAGGCAGACGTGGTGCTGGAGAGTGGCTGAGAGTTCTACATCCAGATCCACAGGCTGCAGGAAGAGAAAGACATTGGGCCAGGCTTGATTTTCTGAAACCTCAAAGCCTACCCCCAGTGACTCACTTCCTCCAACAAGGCCACATCTATTCTCACAAGGCCACATTTCCTAATCCTTTTAAATAATGCTTCTCCCTATGAGCCTGGGGGGGCATTTTCATTTAAACCGCCATACAGTTCATCATCAAAAGCAGCGAGGGAAGAAACTCTGGAGGCAGAGGCTGATGCAGAGGCCATGGAGGGGTGCTGCTTACTGGCTTGCTCTCCATGGCTTGCTCAGCCTTCTTCCTTATAGAACCCAGGACCACCAACCCAGGAATGGCAACATCCACCACGGGCTGGACCCTTCCCCATTGATCACTAACTGAGAAAATGCCTTCCAGCTGGATCTTATGGAGGCATTTCTCAATCAAGTCTCTCTCCTTTCTGATGGCTCTAGCTTGTGTTAAGTTGACATAAAACTAGCCAAGCCAGTACAACCAAGACAGATGAATTAGCAGTGAAGAGTACTTGTTGCTTTTGCAGAGAACCTGAGTCCAATTCCCAGCATCTGCATGGTGTCTCACAACTATCTATAACTCCTTTTCTAGGGGATCCGACACCCTCTTCTGGTTTCTGAGGGCACTGAATGTACATGGTACACACACATACATGCATGAGAACATTCATACATGTAAAAATAAGCAAATAAGTCAGTACAATGGTTCACACCTTTAATCCCAGCACTCAGGAGGCAGAGGAAGGTGGATCTCTGTAAATTCGAGGCCAACCTGGTCTACACAGAGCAAGTTCCAGAATAGCTAGGGCTGTTACGCACAGAAACCCTGTCTTGAAAAACCAAAATAAGTAAATAAATCTTAAAACAAAAACAAGTAAACAAAAAGAAGCATTAGCCAAAACTATGGCAAAGAGCCTCTCCAAGGACCGACAGAA